TTGATGGTGCGTACCAATTGTCTGATCTCTTCTATGTCCTCATGCTGTCAAAGATTACAATGCGAGGAGCAGAAAGGCAGCCAAGGTTTCCTGGAGTCGACCATTTTTACAGCCCTTAACACCTTTGGAACATGATGCTGCTCTGCAAACATTTCATGACATTGCCGATTGGCTTGACCAAGGCGAGGTGGAGAAAATCCTGTCTCTAGCAGACAACATGCCACTTGCAATCAATCTGCTTGCTCACCTTGTTGATTCAGAAGGCTGTTCAGATGTCCTTGCTCGCTGGGAGCAAGAGAAAACAACTCTGATCTCAGCTGGTCATGACCGGAGATCCAATCTCGAGTTATCCATTTCCTTGTCTCTCTTGAGCCCAAGAATCAAACACAGTCCCTGGGACACAAGAGCTTTTGAGCCTCCTGTCCATACTTCCTGATGGGCTATCAGACACAGAGCTATTGCAGAGCAGGCTTCCAATTCCGAATATCCTTGAATGCAAACAGCATTGGTTCGCACTGCTCTTGCTTACACTGATAGGCAGAAACGAACCAAGGTGTTGGTGCCTATTCGAGAATATGTTCACAAAATTCAGCCTCCTCAAGATCACCTTATTCAGCTACTTCGTCAACACTTTGGGGAACTACTGGAGCTTTATACAAAGTACGGTGGAACTCAATCAAATTTTGGAATAAGGAATCGAACTGCATCAAACTATGCAAATATACAGAATGTGATTTTGAATGGGCTACAAGAAGGACACCCTGATCTAGCAAACAGCATTTACTGCTTGTGTCACCTAAATTCCTCAGTATAATTACAGGTCAGGGGAAACTTCCTGTGTTTATACAGATTCCTAGAGTCCTTCTACAGTCTTGTAATGCTCGGCTAGAGGTGTACTATATCACTCAGCTATTTGGATCATGGGGGAATTATCCTATTTCCGACCCACAAATCCTGATTTCCCAGGCTATGGAACACTTTGAAGATTTGAATGATGAAGATCTTAAATGTATGACTCAACTAATGATATTTGAATCAATCTCACATGATTTTCTAGGCAAATTCTATCTCAATGTCTCTATTTATTATCGAGACAAGGAACTTGACCTTCCTGTAGCCCTAACACACGGTCAAACTGCCCTCTCCCTCGCAATTTTCACTGGAAACACCAGAAGACACTCCGAGTCATTGGATAACCTTGCATGGATCCAGTACATTCTCGGTAACTATTCCACAGCCCAACTGCATATACGTGAAGCCCAGAGGCTGGCCAGTACTTTGGCAGATTTCTTCCAACATGCACAATTACTCTACCTTGAGGCAAGGTGCTGTATGGAACTTGGCAATTACAAAAAGAGTATATCAGTTTGCAACCAAGCCATAAAGCTCCTTGGCCTTTGTAACATGTCCCAAGATCCTCCAGCACGTGTCCTCAGGTCTGTCCAAGTACAGGTTCACAGGTACAAATCAGAATATACTGAGGCTCGTAGTCTCAATTGTCGTATCCTCCAAGAAACATCTCTGGAGTCTGATCGGTATAATCATCCCCTTGCTTTGTTAGTTGATTCAGCGATTGGCATATGTTTGGGTATTTCCAAGGAGGAAATGCAAAAGAATCTAGATGTAGCTGCATCAGCATATATGGCCATAGGGTTCAACATAGGAGTGGGAATGTGTGATACGGTCTCTGCAAGTGTCCTTTTGCACTACGGAGATACCGCAGCAGCAAAAGCACTTTTCCAAAGATGCCTCAAAGTATTCTCAGGACATTCGGCTATTACTTCATATTGTCTGGAACAGCTAAGTGATATGAGTCGCTGGCATGCTGCTCCCGATTGGCAGCCTAGCTGGCCAACAGTATTCCTAGTACATTCACTCAAATCAAGACAAAAGCTAGGAATTCACCAAGCACTTCAGTATATTGGAGATGTTTGCCCTTGCTGAGGATGATGAAGATACGGCCATCAACTTGTTTACAACAGCACTGGAAGGATTTACAGACATGGATGTCCACCGTAGCAGAGCAGAATGCATGCTCCGGCTGGGAGATATTTGCAGGCAACATAACAACCTTTCCAAGGCAATAGAGCATTGGACCACAGCAAGGCCACTGTTCAAACGGTCATCCCAAGGGAAACAGGTTTGAAGATATTGATACAAGATTGGCTTCTGTTAGTGAAGGTGTGCTGGAACAACACAGAAACAATTCTGACCTGTCTGCCAATTCTCAATGCACCAACTGAAACTTCGGAGAGGGTGCAGACGGAGTTTACCCAGGACAGCAATTAGTGAACAAAATCTAGTAAACAGTCTTTCAGTATGATTACACATCTCCTGTATGTATTTACTGTAGGTACTTGGCCTGTACATTATTAGTCAGATGAATGTGTCTGGTCATTTATATTTTCATCTGCCCCTTAGAAGATTTTGAACCGATGGATCAGCAGATGACAATTAAAGCGGAAGGTCCAGTTTGGACATCTTGTAACACGTAAAGGTGAACGACAAACATCCAAAGAAGAATGTGAGAGGGATAATGCACAGCACTCCTACTCCCTCTGCATAAAAAGGAAACAGCACACCATACCCATACAACATAAAGCGCACCTCATTGACAAATGAGTTACAGCACATGGGAGACCGGTATATTGCAAGCAACCAAGGAGCCGGCATTGAGAATTCGGGAAGTAGTACATGTGCTTGCGTGTCCTTGCGAATACTGTATGGCCTCCCGTGCAAATAAAGGGAAGTGCAAAAAGGGTCCGGGGGATCAATCTTGAACGACATTAGTATAGGGATGCACACCGTCACCGTGTTTACGGGGTGCCGGCCGCCCGGAGACGGGGACGGGCCCGTCCCGTCTCCATTTTATTCCAAGACGGCGGCGGACGGCCGTAGACGGCCGTAGACGGCAAACTCGAAAGGTTAGCTGAAAAAGACTGTTTCTAAGGTGATCATGGGTCCATTAAGTGGCGAAAACATAGAGAAACCTACCTGGGACTCTTTGGGAGCCTACCTTTTTAGTTGAACTTCAGAATCCCGGCAGAAACCTGTCTAACATAGGTGCGCCGAAATGCCGATATGATGTGAATGATCCGAAGGCTTGACTTTTCAATGTTTCTTCGTGCTTCAAGCGGTCTTGCATGCTGTTCCGACCACTGAGTGGGCCGTTGAGCATGAAGGTAAGTTAATTCACACTCATCACTAGTTCCAAGCCCGAATTCCAAGCCAAATGGTGCGTGAACTCACCATCCCGCATTGTCATGGCCCGTAGCCACCTCGACTTCAGGGATTTGCGGCCGTCACCCGCAAACAGACGGTGTCCATCCCTAGATAAGTAGCTGTCAGATGCGGGGAGTCAATTTTTAGACCACCTGTCATTGTCTCCGAGGGAACCTGCTGCGGCACACCACACCTCGTCTGTAGTTTACCCCGTCATTGGTGATTGCTCGCCGACCTTATTATTCCTAATCATCGGAGTTTGAATCTCCTCTAAGAAACATTCAGCGCATACGGGCTCCTCTCTGCAGAATTGGAGAGGCAGAATCGTTTCAATACATTTCTTCAGGGAACTGTTTATTCAGAATTCTTCCATTACGTCTCAGTCTTACAAACGACGTTCACGGCTTTTCCCGCGTGCCGTGCAATCAAAATCTGGCACCGATGTTCTTTAACTTTACCACCAGGACTCCGCGGGAGAACTTGAAGTTTTCGACCCATAAACTCAAATCCAGAAACACGTTCCTGAACCGTGCTCAGTGGCCAAGAAATTTAGTGATCGGTCGATAAGGGCGGCGAGCAATCAGCTGATCAAGGTGATCAACAGACTACAAGCTACGGAGGTACGAGGTTCAACCGTTTGTAGTGTCTGTCTACAAGAGACTACACCACCCCCGAACTGACTGCCTAGTTCAGTCCTGAGTGACGAATCAGAGGAAGATATGAGTTGTGGGCTCACAAATAAATCGTCGTTGTATCTCCGAAATATCGCAGTTTACAATGGTTTCGGGGTAGAATCTCCCGAAGCAGACCACGAGGGGTGAGCCTGATTTCAAACTTGAATTGTGGACCAATAAATTCAGGTAATAAAAAATAATCGGGCGCCTGGACACATTCGGATGCGGGAAGTCAAACCCCGAGATGTCAGAGTGTGATCACCTTCTCTTTCCCAACGCTGTGCCGTACACCACATCTGAGCTGACTCCCTAATGCAGTCCTGAGTGGGAATCAGAGTGAAATACGAGTTGTAGACTCACAAATGGCGAGTGGATACATCGACGCTCGAACATTTGTGTGCTTGACGGCGAGATAGACGCTGACTTCGAAACTGTGGCGCTGAATTAGAACGTGGGAACCAGAGAAAAGAAGACAAAACTCTCAGGACATGTACATTCGGATGGAGGGAGTCAAACCCGAAATGCCAGTGCCAAGTTCGGCCGCGTCTGAACTGTATCCAGTCTGGTGGTGTTCCGTACACATCGGAATTTTTTGGTCTAGTTCGGTCCCGAGATCAGTGGATGCGGATGGGGAAGGCTGAGACTCAGTCGGTGTGAAGTGGTATGGATATTGAACGACAGTCAGAAAAGGCCAACGCGTTTTCCAAGTTCTCGCCGGCCGAGGCCACAATGGCACGTCAAAGAGTCAAGCCTAGATCACTAATTAGCGAATCAACGAAGGAAAAAGATCTCCGTCCAATATCATATATTTGGACCCGGGGAGTCGAACCCCGAAATGCCCGTCTCGGGGAAGGCTCAACCTAGCCGTGTTTTGCATACGACCTCTGAGTTATTGGGTCAGTGCGATCCTGAGTGTCGAGTGAGCGGTCTTAGGTGAGGGAGAGCAGGGTAGGAGACTTTCACGGCATTGGGATCAGGTAGAATTAGATGTCGATGCGACCACGACGTACAACGAGGCAGACATATCAGCTGGCACAATAGCTACATCCATTCGATAAAGAACGATAGTGGAGAGAAAAAAATGTATGGGGAGGAAAGTGGTCCATCGGATGCGGGGAGTCGAACCCCGAACTGCCGGTTAATTTTTGTCCTACACAGAACAAGACCCATGATACCCGACGGTGTTCCATGCACCACATCCGAGGTACTTGGTGTAGTTGGACCAAAGTGTTCACGCCGAAGGTGATTCACCTTGGAGAAAAAAATTGGCAGAAGTTTTGGCTGTTGAGCCGAGTGATAGAGCCAAGCACACAGCTTGCACACAGCAACTTGTAGCCGGTCCACTGTGGGGCTGGCCACCGTGCCGTATACGGCCAAGGCCGTATTGTTCCCAGCCGTGCAAGCATACGGCCGTGAGATTACGGTCCGGGAAAGCCGTGAGGGAGCTTGAGACGGTACGGTGACCGGCCGTTTACGGCCGTGTACGGCAATACGGCCGCGCAAATGGTTAAAAATCTTGTTGCATGCAATATCAACAGGACAAAGAAATAATAACCTATGGGAGTTGGTGAGACCGAAAGTTCGTCCCCGGTGACGTTGATGACAGCCTTGTGACGGAGTCGGAGTTGCGTGCATTAACCAGCATGAGGCTTCCGATGGTGTCGGCATGAAGGCTGGCAGGGCGGATGCCGAAGACCTGATGTTCAACAGCAACAGAGGATCTTAGCCGGGGCGAGAATATTACCGAACCGAACGATGAAATTCACTTTACCCGGAATGCAAGGGACATCCCGAACAAGCTGATAGAGATTTGGAAGGCTTTCGCGGTGGCTATTGCAGTATAAAATCGGATCGATATACCGAGGACAAGACTGGTCTGTTGGAAGTGTCAATCGCGGCTCAGGGAGTCGTCATTAGCTTGGAGTTAGCCTCTAGGATAGGCTCTCAGTAGTCTGATAAGTGCCCTTGAAAATTTGTGCTATCGGGTTGTCGTGTCGGGCGTCGCGGTAAGCAGGTTAGCTGTTGACAAGATGTATGGAAGACAGCAGTCCAACATGAGCAGGCGGTGACCGGCTAAGTGCGGCTATCATGCATTCTCCACCGCATTTTACCGAAGCCATAATGCCGTGTCCACGGCTCCACGGACACGGTCAACACGGCCGACTCCCGTGTTGTGCCCGTGCCGTGTAGAAGGGACTGCCTCCACGGCCACGGCACCGTGCCTGTATTACGGTGCCGTATTCCGTGGTCCACGGTTACGGTGGCCACGCCTAGTCCATTGAAGTCGATGACATAAAAGACTGCGTCCAGAAGCCGAGCTTTCGACACTGGGGGCAACAACCAACGCATGCAGAGGCCACATGCGACAAATGCATGTGGTCTGCACTTGGAATAAAGACTACAAAGCTGCCTTTGACAGACAAAGGGTGGCTTTGTTGCAGGCTTTGTTCCCCCACACAGAGGCATAAAGCATGCCACAAGCCTGCCTTTGAATACCAAAGGCCACCTTGTGAGCCTTGTTCCTAGTACAGACCACATGCATTTGTCGCATGCAGCCTTCACATGCACCTGTAATTGCCCCAGTGCGAGCTGAGGTTTTGGTAAAAAAGCCAC